CATGGATTCTTGCATTTTTTTGGCTTTTTTCTCATTTTTCTTATTTATCATGGTTTGTAATGAATTTTCTGATGTGAGCTTTGGTTTTGAGGCTGGCATATTGAGTTCAGGGCACAAGAGGAAGGTTCTTTTTCAATCAGGGCACAGCTGTTGGCTTGCTCCACTTCTGGCTTGCTGTCATTGTTTTGGGTGCCTCAGCCGATTTGTGGTTTCTTGAGTGCCAATTTCCTAAATGTTTTCTGGGTCTGAGTCGGTTTTGCCTTCCTATTCCCAAATTTTGTATTCTGATGCAATACAAGCATGTTTTGGAGAGTAGCCATTATGAAAGAAAAAAAAAAAAAACACAGCGCATTGCCATTTCAGGATTAGAAATCTACAGGCAACACAACCAAGATGAGTTTCTGTGTTTTGGAAAATGACATAGAACGCTTCTGCTGAGGGGACAGATTCTAATTCCCTCCAAAATGAGTGTGAGTGCGATTTTGAGGTGAATTCAATCAGAATTCCAGAGTCAGTCTGTGGAAGGGGGGGATGAATCTGGAAACAGCCAGTTTCTTTGTGTCTAAATCCAGCCAAATATCACAAAGGACTCTTGCATTTCTTTGGCTTTTTCACATTTCCCTTATTTATCATGGTTTGTAATGAATTTTCTGATGTGAGCTTTGGTTTTGAGGCTGCAATATAGAGTTCAGGGCACCAGAGGAATGGTCCTTTTCAAACAGGGCACAGCTGTTGGTGTGCTCCAATTCTGGCTATTGTCTTTGTTTTGGGTGCCTCAGCTGAAATTTGGTATCTTGAGTTTCACTGCGATTGTCAGGTTAATTCAGTCAGAATTCCACAGGCAGTCAGCTTTAGTGGTGGATGAATCTGGGAACAGCCGGTTTCCTTGCAACTAAATCAAACCCAATATCATTATGGATTCTTGCATTTCTTTGGCTTTTTCTCTTTTTTCTTATTTATCATGGTTTGTAATGAATTTTCTGATGTGAGCTTTGGTTTTGAGGCTGCAATATGGAGTTCAGGGCACAAGAGGATGGTTCTTTTTCAATCAGGGCACAGCTGTTGGCTTGCTCCACTTCTGGCTTGCTGTCATTGTTTTGAGTGCCTCAGCCGATTTGTGGTTTCTTGTGTGGCAATTTCCCAAATGTTTTCAGGGTCTGAGTTGGCTTTGCCTTCTTCCTTCCCAAATTTTGTATTCTGATGCAATGCAAAGAAGACTTTGTACAGAATAGCCATTATGAAAGAAAAAACACAACAAATAGGCGTTTGAAGCTTAGAAATCTACAGGTAACATGACCAAGGTGAGTTTTTGTGTTTATGAAAATAAAATGGAACACTTTGGCTGAGGTGACAGATATTAATTGCCTCCAAACTGAGTTTCACTGTGATTTTCAGGTTAATTCAGTCAGAATTCCACAGGCTGTCAGCTGGAGGGGTGGATGTATCTGGGAACAGCCGGTTTCCTAGCGACTAAATCAAGCCCTATATCATTATGAATTCTTGCATTTTTTTTGCTTTTTTCTATTTTTTCTCATTTATCATGGTTTGTAATGAATTTTCTGATGTGAGCTTTGGTTTTGAGACTGCAATATAGAGTTCAGGGCACCGGAGGAATGGTCTTTTTCAAACAGGACACAGCTGTTGGTTTCCTCCAATTCTGGCTATTGTCTTTGTTTTGGGTGCCTCAGCTGAAATTTGGTTTCTTGAGTTTCACTGGGATTGTCAGGTTAATTCAGTCAGAATTCCACAGGCAGTCAGCTTTAGTGGTGGATGAATCTGGGAACAGCCGGTTTCCTTGCAACTAAATCAAGCCCTATATCATTATGGATTCTTGCATTTCTTTGGCTTTTTTCTCTTTTTTCTTATTTATCATGGTTTGTAATGAATTTTCTGATGTGAGCTTTGGTTTTGAGGCTGGCATATTGAGTTCAGGTCACAAGAGGATGGTTCTTTTTCAATCAGGGCACAGCTGTTGGCTTGCTCCACTTCTGGCTTGCTGTCATTGTTTTGGGTGCCTCAGCTGATTTGTGGTTTCTTGTGTGGCAATTTCCTAAATGTTTTCGGGGTCTGAGTTGGTTTTGCCTTCTTCCTTCCCAAATTTTGTATTCTGATGCAATACAAGCAAGATTTTGGACAGAGTAGCCATTATGAAAGAAAAAAAAAAAAACACAGCAAATTGACCTTTCAGGATTAGAAATCCATAGGCAACACAACCAAGGTGAGATTCTGTGTTTTGGAAAATGCCATGGAACGCTTCTGCTGAGCGGACAGATTCTAATTCCCTCCAAATGGAGTGTGAGAGCGATTTTGAGGTGAATTCAATCAGAATTCCAGAGTCAGTCTGTGGAAGGGGGGGATGAATCTGGAAACAGCCAGTTTCTTTGTGTCTAAATCCTGCAAATATCACAAAGGACTCTTGCATTTCTTTGGCTTTTCACATTTCCCTTATTTATCATGGTTTGTAATGAATTTCTGATGTAGCTTTGGTTTTGAGGCTGGCATATTGAGTTCAGGGCACAAGAGGAAGGTTCTTTTTCAATCAGGGCACAGCTGTTGGCTTGCTCCAATTCTGGCTTGCTGTCATTGTTTTGGATGCCTCAGCCGATTTCTGGTTTCTTGAGTGGAAATTTCCTAAATGTTTTCTGGGTCTGAGTCGGTTTTGACTTCTTATTCCCAAATTTTGTATTCTGATGCAATGCAAAGAAGAGATTGTAAAGAATAGCCATTATGTGGAAGGGGAGAGGGAGTGGGAAAGGGGAGGGTTGTGGGTGGGAGGGACGGTATGGGGGGGAAGCCATTGTAATCCATAAGTCATACTTTGGAAAATTATATACATTAAATAAAAGTTTAAAAAAAAAAAAAAAAAGCCGGCGCCGTGGCTCATAGGCTAATCCTCCACCTTGCGGCGCGGCACACCGGGTTCTAGTCCCGGTTGGGGCGCCGGATTCTGTCCCGGTTGCCCTCTTCCAGGCCAGCTCTCTGCTATGGCCAGGGAGTGCAGTGGAGGATGGCCCAGGTGCTTGGGCCCTGCACCCATGGGAGACCAGGAAAAGCACCTGGCTCCTGGCTCCTGCAAGGATCAGCGCGGTGCGCCGCTGCAGCGGCGGCCATTGGAGGGTGAACCAGCGGCAAAGGAAGACCTTTCTCTCTCTGTCTCTCTCTCTCACTGTCCATTCTGCCTGTCAAAAAAAAAAAAAAAAAAAAAAAAAAAAGAATAGCCATTATGAAATAAAAAACACAAAAAATAGGTGTTTGAAGCTTAGAAATCTACAGGTAACATGACCAAGGTGAGTTTTTGTGTTTATGAAAATAAAATGGAATACTTTGGCTGAGGTGACAGATATTAATTGCCTCCAAACTGAGTTTCACTGTGATTTTCAGGTTAATTCAGTCAGAATTCCACAGGCAGTCAGCTGGAGGGGTGGATGAATCCTGGAACAGCCGGTTTCCTAGCGACTAAATCAAGCCCTATATCATTATGGATTCTTGCATTTTTTTGGCTTTTTTCTCTTTTTTCTTATTTATCATGGTTTGTAATGAATTTTCTGATGTGAGCTTTGGTTTTGAGGCTGGCATATTGAGTTCAGGGCACAAGAGGAAGGTTCTTTTTCAATCAGGGCACAGCTGTTGGCTTGCTCCACTTCTGGCTTGCTGTCATTGTTTTGGGTGCCTCAGCTGATTTGTGGTTTCTTGTGTGGCAATTTCCTAAATGTTTTCGGGGTCTGAGTTGGTTTTGTCTTCTTCCTTCCCAAATTTTGTATTCTGATGCAATACAAGCAAGATTTTGGACAGAGTAGCCATTATGAAAGAAAAAAAAAAAAACACAGCAAATTGACCTTTCAGGATTAGAAATCCATAGGCAACACAACCAAGATGAGATTCTGTGTTTTGGAAAATGACATGGAACGCTTCTGCTGAGGGGACAGATTCTAATTCCCTCCAAATGGAGTGTGAGAGCGATTTTGAGGTGAATTCAATCAGAATTCCAAAGTCAGTCTGTGGAAGGGGGGGATGAATCTGGAAACAGCCAGTTTCTTTGTGTCTAAATCCTGCCAAATATCACAAAGGACTCTTGCATTTCTTTGGCTTTTTCACATTTCCCTTATTTATCATGGTTTGTAATGAATTTTCTGATGTGAGCTTTGGTTTTGAGGCTGGCATATAGAGTTCAGGGCACAAGAGGAAGGTTCTTTTTCAATCAGGGCACAGCTGTTGGCTTGCTCCACTTCTGGCTTGCTGTCATTGTTTTGGGTGCCTCAGCCGATTTGTGGTTTCTTGAGTGCCAATTTCCTAAATGTTTTCTGGGTCTGAGTCGGTTTTGCCTTCTTATTCCCAAATTTTGTATTCTGATGCAATACAAGCAAGATTTTGGAGAGTAGCCATTATGAAAGAAAAAAAAAAAAAAACGCATTGCCCTTTCAGGATTAGAAATCTACAGGCAACACAACCAAGATGAGTTTCTGTGTTTTGGAAAATGACATAGAACGCTTCTGCTGAGGGGACAGATTCTAATTCCCTCCCAAATGAGTGTGAGAGCGATTTTGAGGTGAATTCAATCAGAATTCCAAAGTCAGTCTGTGGAAGGGGGGGATGAATCTGGAAACAGCCAGTTTCTTTGTGTCTAAATCCAGCCAAATATCACAAAGGACTCTTGCATTTCTTTGGCTTTTTCACATTTCCCTTATTTATCATGGTTTGTAATGAATTTTCTGATGTGAGCTTTGGTTTTGAGGCTGCAATATAGAGTTCAGGGCACCGGAGGAATGGTCTTTTTCAAACAGGGCACAGCTGTTGGCTTGCTCCAATTCTGGCTATTGTCTTTGTTTTGGGTGCCTCAGCTGAAATTTGGTTTCTTGAGTTTCACTGTGATTGTCAGGTTAATTCAGTCAGAATTCCACAGGCAGTCAGCTTTAGTGGTGGATGAATCTGGGAACAGCCGGTTTCCTTGCAACTAAATCAAGCCCTAATATCATTATGGATTCTTGCATTTTTTGGCTTTTTTCTCTTTTTTCTTATTTATCATGGTTTGTAATGAATTTTCTGATGTGAGCTTTGGTTTTGAGGCTGGCATATTGAGTTCAGGGCACAAGAGGATGGTTCTTTTTCAATCAGGGCACAGCTGTTGGCTTGCTCCACTTCTGGCTTGCTGTCATTGTTTTGAGTGCCTCAGCCGATTTGTGGTTTCTTGTGTGGCAATTTCCCAAATGTTTTCAGGGTCTGAGTTGGCTTTGCCTTCTTCCTTCCCAAATTTTGTATTCTGATGCAATGTAAAGAAGAGTTTGTACAGAATAGCCATTATGAAAGAAAAAACACAACAAATAGGCGTTTGAAGCTTAGAAATCTACAGGTAACATGACCAAGGTGAGTTTTTGTGTTTATGAAAATAAAATGGAACACTTTGGCTGAGGTGACAGATATTAATTGCCTCCAAACTGAGTTTCACTGTGATTTTCAGGTTAATTCAGTCAGAATTCCACAGGCAGTCAGCTGGAGGGGTGGATGAATCCGGGAACAGCCGGTTTCCTAGCGACTAAATCAAGCCCTATATCATTATGGATTCTTGCATTTTTTGGCTTTTTTCTCTTTTTTCTTATTTATCATGGTTTGTAATGAATTTTCTGATGTGAGCTTTGGTTTTGAGGCTGGCATATTGAGTTCAGGGCACAAGAGGAAGGTTCTTTTTCAATCAGGGCACAGCTGTTGGCTTGCTCCACTTCTGGCTTGCTGTCATTGTTTTGGGTGCCTCAGCTGATTTGTGGTTTCTTGTGTGGCAATTTCCTAAATGTTTTCTGGGTCTGAGTTGGTTTTGCCTTCTTCCTTCCCAAATTTTGTATTCTGATGCAATACAAGCAAGATTTTGGACAGAGTAGCCATTATGAAAGAAAAAAAAAAAACACAGCAAATTGACCTTTCAGGATTAGAAATCCATAGGCAACACAACCAAGATGAGATTCTGTGTTTTGGAAAATGACATGGAACGCTTCTGCTGAGGTGACAGATTCTAATTCCCTCCAAATGGAGTGTGAGAGCGATCTTGAGGTGAATTCAATCAGAATTCCAAAGTCAGTCTGTGGAAGGGGGGGATGAATCTGGAAACAGCCAGTTTCTTTGTGTCTAAATCCTGCCAAATATCACAAAGGACTCTTGCATTTCTTTGGCTTTTTCACATTTCCCTTATTTATCATGGTTTGTAATGAATTTTCTGATGTGAGCTTTGGTTTTGAGGCTGGCATATTGAGTTCAGGGCACAAGAGGAAGGTTCTTTTTCAATCAGGGCACAGCTGTTGGCTTGCTCCACTTCTGGCTTGCTGTCATTGTTTTGGGTGCCTCAGCTGATTTGTGGTTTCTTGTGTGGCAATTTCCTAAATGTTTTCTGGGTCTGAGTTGGTTTTGCCTTCTTCCTTCCCAAATTTTGTATTCTGATGCAATACAAGCAAGATTTTGGACAGAGTAGCCATTATGAAAGAAAAAAAAAAAAAACACAGCAAATTGACCTTTCAGGATTAGAAATCCATAGGCAACACAACCAAGGTGAGATTCTGTGTTTTGGAAAATGACATGGAACGCTTCTGCTGAGGGGACAGATTCTAATTCCCTCCAAATGGAGTGTGAGAGCGATCTTGAGGTGAATTCAATCAGAATTCCAAAGTCAGTCTGTGGAAGGGGGGGATGAATCTGGAAACAGCCAGTTTCTTTGTGTCTAAATCCTGCCAAATATCACAAAGGACTCTTGCATTTCTTTGGCTTTTTCACATTTCCCTTATTTATCATGGTTTGTAATGAATTTTCTGATGTGAGCTTTGGTTTTGAGGCTGGCATATTGAGTTCAGGGCACAAGAGGAAGGTTCTTTTTCAATCAGGGCACAGCTGTTGGCTTGCTCCACTTCTGGCTTGCTGTCATTGTTTTGGGTGCCTCAGCTGATTTGTGGTTTCTTGTGTGGCAATTTCCTAAATGTTTTCTGGGTCTGAGTTGGTTTTGCCTTCTTCCTTCCCAAATTTTGTATTCTGATGCAATACAAGCAAGATTTTGGACAGAGTAGCCATTATGAAAGAAAAAAAAAAACACAGCAAATTGACCATTCAGGATTAGAAATCCATAGGCAACACAACCAAGATGAGATTCTGTGTTTTGGAAAATGACATGGAACGCTTCTGCTGAGGTGACAGATTCTAATTCCCTCCAAATGGAGTGTGAGAGCGATCTTGAGGTGAATTCAATCAGAATTCCAAAGTCAGTCTGTGGAAGGGGGGGATGAATCTGGAAACAGCCACTTTCTTTGTGTCTAAATCCTGCCAAATATCACAAAGGACTCTTGCATTTCTTTGGCTTTTTTCACATTTTCCTTATTTATCATGGTTTGTAATGAATTTTCTGATGTGAGCTTTGGTTTTGAGGCTGGCATATTGAGTTCAGGGCACAAGAGGAAGGTTCTTTTTCAATCAGGGCACAGCTGTTGGCTTGCTCCACTTCTGGCTTGCTGTCATTGTTTTGGGTGCCTCAGCTGATTTGTGGTTTCTTGTGTGGCAATTTCCTAAATGTTTTCGGGGTCTGAGTTGGTTTTGCCTTCTTCCTTCCCAAATTTTGTATTCTGATGCAATACAAGCAAGATTTTGGACAGAGTAGCCATTATGAAAGAAAAAAAAAAAACACAGCAAATTGACCTTTCAGGATTAGAAATCCATAGGCAACACAACCAAGGTGAGATTCTGTGTTTTGGAAAATGACATGGAACGCTTCTGCTGAGGGGACAGATTCTAATTCCCTCCAAATGGAGTGTGAGAGCGATCTTGAGGTGAATTCAATCAGAATTCCAAAGTCAGTCTGTGGAAGGGGGGGATGAATCTGGAAACAGCCAGTTTCTTTGTGTCTAAATCCTGCCAAATATCACTAAGGACTCTTGCATTTCTTTGGCTTTTTTCTCTTTTTTCTTATTTATCATGGTTTGTAATGAATTTTCTGATGTGAGCTTTGGTTTTGAGGCTGGCATATTGAGTTCAGGGCACAAGAGGAAGGTTCTTTTTCAATCAGGGCACAGCTGTTGGCTTGCTCCACTTCTGGCTTGCTGTCATTGTTTTGGGTGCCTCAGCTGATTTGTGGTTTCTTGTGTGGCAATTTCCTAAATGTTTTCGGGGTCTGAGTTGGTTTTGCCTTCTTCCTTCCCAAATTTTGTATTCTGATGCAATACAAGCAAGATTTTGGACAGAGTAGCCATTATGAAAGAAAAAAAAAAAACACAGCAAATTGACCTTTCAGGATTAGAAATCCATAGGCAACACAACCAAGATGAGATTCTGTGTTTTGGAAAATGACATGGAACGCTTCTGCTGAGGTGACAGATTCTAATTCCCTCCAAATGGAGTGTGAGAGCGATTTTGAGGTGAATTCAATCAGAATTCCAAAGTCAGTCTGTGGAAGGGGGGGATGAATCTGGAAACAGCCAGTTTCTTTGTGTCTAAATCCTGCCAAATATCACAAAGGACTCTTGCATTTCTTTGGCTTTTTCACATTTCCCTTATTTATCATGGTTTGTAATGAATTTTCTGATGTGAGCTTTGGTTTTGAGGCTGGCATATTGAGTTCAGGGCACAAGAGGAAGGTTCTTTTTCAATCAGGGCACAGCTGTTGGCTTGCTCCACTTCTGGCTTGCTGTCATTGTTTTGGGTGCCTCAGCCGATTTGTGGTTTCTTGAGTGGCAATTTCCTAAATGTTTTCTGGGTCTGAGTCGGTTTTGCCTTCTTATTCCCAAATTTTGTATTCTGATGCAATACAAGCAAGATTTTGGAGAGTAGCCATTATGAAAGAAAAAAAAAAAAAACACAGCGCATTGCCCTTTCAGGATTAGAAATCTACAGGCAACACGACCAAGATGAGTTTCTGTGTTTTGGAAAATGACATAGAACGCTTCTGCTGAGGGGACAGATTCTAATTCCCTCCCAAATGAGTGTGAGTGCGATTTTGAGGTGAATTCAATCAGAATTCCAAAGTCAGTCTGTGGAAGGGGGGGATGAATCTGGAAACAGCCAGTTTCTTTGTGTCTAAATCCAGCCAAATATCACAAAGGACTCTTGCATTTCTTTGGCTTTTTCACATTTCCCTTATTTATCATGGTTTGTAATGAATTTTCTGATGTGAGCTTTGGTTTTGAGGCTGCAATATAGAGTTCAGGGCACCTGAGGAATGGTCTTTTTCAAACAGGGCACAGCTGTTGGTGTGCTCCAATTCTGGCTATTGTCTTTGTTTTGGGTGCCTCAGCTGAAATTTGGTTTCTTGAGTTTCACTGCGATTGTCAGGTTAATTCAGTCAGAATTCCACAGGCAGTCAGCTTTAGTGGTGGATGAATCTGGGAACAGCCGGTTTCCTTGCAACTAAATCAAACCCAATATCATTATGGATTCTTGCATTTTTTTGGCTTTTTTCTCTTTTTTCTTATTTATCATGGTTTGTAATGAATTTTCTGATGTGAGCTTTGGTTTTGAGGCTGGCATATTGAGTTCAGGGCACAAGAGGAAGGTTGTTTTTCAATCAGGGCACAGCTGTTGGCTTGCTCCACTTCTGGCTTGCTGTCATTGTTTTGAGTGCCTCAGCCGATTTGTGGTTTCTTGTGTGGCAATTTCCCAAATGTTTTCAGGGTCTGAGTTGGCTTTGCCTTCTTCCTTCCCAAATTTTGTATTCTGATGCAATGCAAAGAAGAGTTTGTACAGAATAGCCATTATGAAAGAAAAAACACAACAAATAGGCGTTTGAAGCTTAGAAATCTACAGGTAACATGACCAAGGTGAGTTTTTGTGTTTATGAAAATAAAATGGAACACTTTGGCTGAGGTGACAGATATTAATTGCCTCCAAACTGAGTTTCACTGTGATTTTCAGGTTAATTCAGTCAGAATTCCACAGGCTGTCAGCTGGAGGGGTGGATGAATCCGGGAACAGCCGGTTTCCTAGCGACTAAATCAAGCCCTATATCATTATGGATTCTTGCATTTTTTTGGCTTTTTTCTCTTTTTTCTTATTTATCATGGTTTGTAATGAATTTTCTGATGTGAGCTTTGGTTTTGAGGCTGGCATATTGAGTTCAGGGCACAAGAGGAAGGTTCTTTTTCAATCAGGGCACAGCTGTTGGCTTGCTCCACTTCTGGCTTGCTGTCATTGTTTTGGGTGCCTCAGCTGATTTGTGGTTTCTTGTGTGGCAATTTCCTAAATGTTTTCGGGGTCTGAGTTGGTTTTGCCTTCTTCCTTCCCAATTTTGTATTCTGATGCAATACAAGCAAGATTTTGGACAGAGTAGCCATTATGAAAGAAAAAAAAAAAACACAGCAAATTGACCTTTCAGGATTAGAAATCCATAGGCAACACAACCAAGGTGAGATTCTGTGTTTTGGAAAATGACATGGAACGCTTCTGCTGAGGTGACAGATTCTAATTCCCTCCAAATGGAGTGTGAGAGCGATTTTGAGGTGAATTCAATCAGAATTCCAAAGTCAGGTCTGTGGAAGGGGGGGATGAATCTGGAAACAGCCAGTTTCTTTGTGTCTAAATCCTGCCAAATATCACAAAGGACTCTTGCATTTCTTTGGCTTTTTCACATTTCCCTTATTTATCATGGTTTGTAATGAATTTTCTGATGTGAGCTTTGGTTTTGAGGCTGGCATATTGAGTTCAGGGCACAAGAGGAAGGTTCTTTTTCAATCAGGGCACAGCTGTTGGCTTGCTCCACTTCTGGCTTGCTGTCATTGTTTTGGGTGCCTCAGCCGATTTGTGGTTTCTTGAGTGCCAATTTCCTAAATGTTTTCTGGGTCTGAGTCGGTTTTGCCTTCTTATTCCCAAATTTTGTATTCTGATGCAATACAAGCAAGATTTTGGAGAGTAGCCATTATGAAAGAAAAAAAAAAAACACAGCGCATTGCCCTTTCAGGATTAGAAATCTACAGGCAACACGACCAAGATGAGTTTCTGTGTTTTGGAAAATGACATAGAACGCTTCTGCTGAGGGGACAGATTCTAATTCCCTCCAAATGGAGTGTGAGAGCGATTTTGAGGTGAATTCAATCAGAATTCCAAAGTCAGTCTGTGGAAGGGGGGGATGAATCTGGAAACAGCCAGTTTCTTTGTGTCTAAATCCAGCCAAATATCACAAAGGACTCTTGCATTTCTTTGGCTTTTTCACATTTCCCTTATTTATCATGGTTTGTAATGAATTTTCTGATGTGAGCTTTGGTTTTGAGGCTGCAATATAGAGTTCAGGGCACCTGAGGAATGGTCTTTTTCAAACAGGGCACAGCTGTTGGTGTGCTCCAATTCTGGCTATTGTCTTTGTTTTGGGTGCCTCAGCTGAAATTTGGTTTCTTGAGTTTCACTGCGATTGTCAGGTTAATTCAGTCAGAATTCCACAGGCAGTCAGCTTTAGTGGTGGATGAATCTGGGAACAGCCGGTTTCCTTGCAACTAAATCAAACCCAATATCATTATGGATTCTTGCATTTTTTTGGCTTTTTTCTCTTTTTTCTTATTTATCATGGTTTGTAATGAATTTTCTGATGTGAGCTTTGGTTTTGAGGCTGGCATATTGAGTTCAGGGCACAAGAGGAAGGTTGTTTTTCAATCAGGGCACAGCTGTTGGCTTGCTCCACTTCTGGCTTGCTGTCATTGTTTTGAGTGCCTCAGCCGATTTGTGGTTTCTTGTGTGGCAATTTCCCAAATGTTTTCAGGGTCTGAGTTGGCTTTGCCTTCTTCCTTCCCAAATTTTGTATTCTGATGCAATGCAAAGAAGAGTTTGTACAGAATAGCCATTATGAAAGAAAAAACACAACAAATAGGCGTTTGAAGCTTAGAAATCTACAGGTAACATGACCAAGGTGAGTTTTTGTGTTTATGGAAAATCAAATGGAACACTTTGGCTGAGGTGACAGATATTAATTGCCTCCAAACTGAGTTTCACTGTGATTTTCAGGTTAATTCAGTCAGAATTCCACAGGCTGTCAGCTGGAGGGGTGGATGAATCCGGGAACAGCCGGTTTCCTAGCGACTAAATCAAGCCCTATATCATTATGGATTCTTGCATTTTTTTGGCTTTTTTCTCTTTTTTCTTATTTATCATGGTTTGTAATGAATTTTCTGATGTGAGCTTTGGTTTTGAGGCTGGCATATTGAGTTCAGGGCACAAGAGGAAGGTTCTTTTTCAATCAGGGCACAGCTGTTGGCTTGCTCCACTTCTGGCTTGCTGTCATTGTTTTGGGTGCCTCAGCTGATTTGTGGTTTCTTGTGTGGCAATTTCCTAAATGTTTTCGGGGTCTGAGTTGGTTTTGCCTTCTTCCTTCCCAATTTTGTATTCTGATGCAATACAAGCAAGATTTTGGACAGAGTAGCCATTATGAAAGAAAAAAAAAAAAAACACAGCAAATTGACCTTTCAGGATTAGAAATCCATAGGCAACACAACCAAGGTGAGATTCTGTGTTTTGGAAAATGACATGGAACGCTTCTGCTGAGGGGACAGATTCTAATTCCCTCCAAATGGAGTGTGAGAGCGATTTTGAGGTGAATTCAATCAGAATTCCAAAGTCGGTCTGTGGAAGGGGGGGATGAATCTGGAAACAGCCAGTTTCTTTGTGTCTAAATCCTGTCAAATATCACAAAGGACTCTTGCATTTCTTTGGCTTTTTCACATTTCCCTTATTTATCATGGTTTGTAATGAATTTTCTGATGTGAGCTTTGGTTTTGAGTCTGGCATATTGAGTTCAGGGCACAAGAGGAAGGTTCTTTTTCAATCAGGGCACAGCTGTTGGCTTGCTCCAATTCTGGCTTGCTGTCATTGTTTTGGGTGCCTCAGCCGATTTGTGGTTTCTTGAGTGCCAATTTCCTAAATGTTTTCTGGGTCTGAGTCGGTTTTGCCTTCCCAAATTATTTCCAAATTTTGTATTTTGATGCAATACAAGCAAGATTTTGGAGAGTAGCCATTATGAAAGAAAGAAAAAAAAAACACAGCGAATTGCCCTTTCAGGATTATAAATCTACAGGCTACACGACCAAGATGAGTTTCTGTGTTTTGGAAAATGACAAGGAACCCTTCTGCTGAGGGGACAGATTCTAATTCCCTCCAAATTGAGTGTGAGTGCGATTTTGAGGTGAATTCAATCAGAATTCCAAAGTCAGTCTGTGGAAGGGGGGGTATGAATCTGGAAACAGCCAGTTTCCTTGTATCTGAATCCAGCCAAATATCAAAAAGGACTCTTGCATTTCTTTGGCTTTTTCACATTTCCCTGATTTATCATGGTTTGTAATGAATTTTCTGATGTGAGCTTGGTTTTGAGGCTGCAATATGGAGTTCAGGGTACTGGAGGACCTGTCTTTTTCAAATAGGGTACAGTTGTTGGCTTGCTGCAATTCTGGCTTGCTGTCATTGTTTTGGGTTCCTCAGCCAATTTGTGGTTTCCTGTGTGGCAATTTCCTAAATGTTCTCTGGGTCTGAGTTGGCTTTGCCTTCTTCCTTCCCAAATTTTGTATTCTGATGCAATACAAGCGAGATTTTCGACAGAGTAGCCATTATGAAATAAAAAACACAACTAATAGGCGTTTGAAGCTTAGAAATCAACAGGTAACATGACCAAGGTGAGTTTTTGTGTTTTGGAAAATAAAATGGAACACTTTGGCTGAGGTGACAGATATTAATTGCCTCCAAACTGAGTTTCACTGCGATTTTCAGGTTAATTCATTCAGAATTCCACAGGCAGTCAGCTGGAGGGGTGGATGAATCCGTGAACAGCTGGTTTCCTAGCGACTAAATCAAGCCCTATATCATCATGGATTCTTGCATTTTTTTGGCTTTTTTCTCTTTTTTCTTATTTATCATGGTTTGTAATGAATTTTCTGATGTGAGCTTTGGTTTTGAGGCTGGCTATTGGATTCAGGGCCAAGAGGAAGGTTCTTTTTCAATCAGGGCACAGCTGTGGCTTGCTCCAATTCTGGCTTGCTGTCATTTTTTGGGTGCCTCAGCTGAATTTGGGTTTCTTGTGTGGCAATTTCCTAAATGTTTTCTGGGTCTGAGTTGGTTTTGCCTTCTTCCTTCCCAAATTTTGTATTCTGATGCAATACAAGCAAGATTTTGGACAGAGTAGCCATTATGAAAGAAAAAAAAACACAAGCAAATTGACCTTTCAGGATTACGAAATCATAGGCAACACAAGCAAGATGAGATTCTGGTTTTGGAAAATGACAGGGACCGCTTCTGCTGAGGTGACAGATTCTAATTCCCTCCAAATGGAGTGTGAGAGCGATTTGAGGTGAATTCAATCAGAATCCAAGTCAGTCTGTGGAAGGGGGGGATGAATCTGGAAACAGCCAGTTCTTTGTGTCTAAATCAGCCAAATATCACAAAGGATCTTGCATTCTTGGCCTTTTTTCACATTTCCCTTATTATCATGGTTGTATGAATTTTTTGATGTGAGCTTTAGATTTGAGGCTGGCATATTGAGTTCAGGGCACAAGAGGAAGGTTCTTTTTCAATCAGGGCACAGCTGTTGGCTTGCTCCACTTCTGGCTTGCTGTCATTGTTTTGGGTGCCTCAGCTGATTTGTGGTTTCTTGTGTGGCAATTTCCTAAATGTTTTCTGGGTCTGAGTTGGTTTTGCCTTCTTCCTTCCCAAATTTTGTATTCTGATGCAATACAAGCAAGATTTTGGAGAGTAGCCATTATGAAAGAAAAAAAAAAAAACACAGCAAATTGACCTTTCAGGATTAGAAATCCATAGGCAACACAACCAAGATGAGATTCTGTGTTTTGGAAAATGACATGGAACGCTTCTGCTGAGGTGACAGATTCTAATTCCCTCCAAATGGAGTGTGAGAGCGATTTTGAGGTGAATTCAATCAGAATTCCAAAGTCAGTCTGTGGAAGGGGGGGATGAATCTGGAAACAGCCAGTTTCTTTGTGTCTAAATCCTACCAAATATCACAAAGGACTCTTGCATTTCTTTGGCTTTTTCACATTTCCCTTATTTATCATGGTTTGTAATGAATTTTCTGATGTGAGCTTTGGTTTTGAGGCTGGCATTTTGAGTTCAGGGCACCGGAGGAATGGTCTTTTTCAAACAGGGCACAGCTGTTGGCCTGCTCCAATTCTGGCTATTGTCTTTGTTTTGGGTGCCTCAGCTGATATTTGGTTTCTTGAGTTTCACTGAGATTGTCAGGTTAATTCAGTCAGAATTCCACAGGCAGTCAGCTTTAGTGGTGGATGAATCTGGGAACAGCCGGTTTCCTTGCAACTAAATCAAACCCAATATCATTATGGATTCTTGCATTTCTTTGGCTTTTTTCTCTTTTTTCATATTTATCATGGTTTGTAATGAATTTTCTGATGTGAGCTTTGGTTTTGAGGCTGCAATATGGAGTTCAGGGCACAAGAGGATGGTTCTTTTTCAATCAGGGCACAGCTGTTGGCATGCTCCAATTCTGGCTTGCTGTCATTGTTTTGAGTGCCTCAGCCGATTTGTGGTTTCTTGTGTGGCAATTTCCCAAATGTTTTCAGGGTCTGAGTTGGCTTTGCCTTCTTCCTTCCCAAATTTTGTATTCTGATGCAATGCAAAGAAGAGTTTGTACAGAATAGCTATTACGAAAGAAAAAACACAACTAATAGGCGTTTGAAGCTTAGAAATCTACAGGTAACATGACCAAGGTGAGTTTTTGTGTTTATGAAAATAAAATGGAACACTTTGGCTGAGGTGACAGATATTAATTGCCTCCAAACTGAGTTTCACTGTGATTTTCAGGTTAATTCAGTCAGAATTCCACAGGCAGTCAGCTGGAGGGGTAGATGAATCCAGGAACAGCCGGTTTCCTAGCGACTAAATCAAGCCCTATATCATTATGGATTCTTGCATTTCTTTGGCTTTTTTCTCTTTTTTCTTATTTATCTTGGCTTGTAATGAATTTTCTGATGTGAGCTTTGGTTTTGAGGCTGGCATATTGAGTTCAGGGCACAAGAGGAAGGTTCTTTTTCAATCAGGGCACAGCTGTTGGCTTGCTCCACTTCTGGCATCCTGACATTTTTTTGGGTGCCTCAGCTGATTTGTGATTTCTTGAGCGGCAATTTCCTAAATGTTTTCTGGGTCTGAGTTGGTTTTGCCTTCTTCCTTCCCAAATTTTGTATTCTGACACAATACAAACAAGAGTTTGGCCAGTGCAGCCATTATGAAATAAAAAACACTACACATAGGTGTTTGAAGCTTAGAAATCTACAGATAACACGACCAAGGTGAGTTTTTGTGTTATGGAAAATAAAATGGAACACTTTGGCTGAAGTGACAGATATTAATTGCCTCCAAACTGAGTTTCACTGCGATTTTCAGGTGAATTCAGTCAGAATTCCACAGGCAGTCAGCTGGAGGGGTGGATGAATCCGGGCACAGCCCGTTTCCTTGCGACTAAATCCAGCTCAATATCATTATGGATTCTTGCATTTCTTGGCTTTTTTCTCATTTTTCTTATGTATCGTGGTTTGTAATGAATTTCCTGATGTCAGCTTTGGTTTTGAGGCTGGAATATGGAGTTCAGGGTCCCGGAAGAATGGCCTTTTTCAATCAGGACTCAGCTGATTGCCTCCTCCAATTCTGGCTTGCTGTCATGGTTTTGGGTGCCTCAGCTGACTTTTGGTTTCTTGAGTGGCAATTTCCTAAATGTTTTCTGTGTCTGAGTTGGCTTTGCCTTCTACCTTCCCAAATTTTGTATGTGATGCAATACAAGGAAGATTTTGGACAGAGTAGCCATTATAAAATAAAAAACACAACAAATAGGCGTTTGAAGCTTGGAAATCTATAGGTAACATGACCAAAGTGAGTTTTTTTGTTTTGGAAAATAAAATGGAACACTTTGGCTGAGGTGACAGATATTAATTGTCTCCAAACCGAATTTCACTGCCATTTGAGGTGAATTCAGTCAGAATCCCTATTCACTCAGCTGGGAGTTGTGGATGAATCTGGAAACAGCTGTTTACTTAGGAATAAATCAAGCCCAATATCACTAAGAAAACTTGCATTTCTTTGGCTTTTTTCTGATTTTTCCTATTTATCATGGTTTGAAAAGAATTTTTTGATGTGAGCTTTGGTTTTGTGGCTGGCATATTGAGTTTAGGGCACAAGAGGAAGGTTCTTTTTCAATCAGGGCACAGCTGTTGGCGTGCTCCAATTCTGCTTGCTGTCATTGTTTTGGGTGCCTCAGCTGATATGTGGATTCTTTTTCTGCAGTTTCCTAAATGTTTTCTGGTTCTGATCGGATTTGCCTTCTTATTCCCAAATTTTGTATTCTGACGCAATACAAGCAAGATTTTGGACAGAGTAGCCATTATGAAAGAAAAAAAAAAACACAGTAAATTGCCCTTTCAGGATTAGAAATCTACAGGCAACACGACCAAGATGAGTTTCTGTGTTTTGGAAATTCACATGGAACACTTCTGCTGAGGGGACAGATACTAATTCCCTCCAAATGAGTGTGAGTGCGATTTTGAGGTGAATTGAGTCAGAATTCCAAAGTCAGTCTGTGGAAGGGGGGATGAATCCAGAAACAGCCTGTTTCCTTCTGTCTAATCCAGCCAAATACCACAAAGGACTCTTGAATTACTTTGGCTTTCTCAGATTTCCCTTATTATCATTGTTTGTAATGATTATTTTTTGTGAGCTTTGGTTTTGAGGCTGGAAGATGGAGTTCAGGGCACTGGATTAATGGTTTTTGTTCAATCAGGGCACAGCTGTTGGCTTGCTCCAATTCTGGCTGCTGTCATTGTTTTTGGGTGCCTCAGCCCGATTTTGTGGTTTCTTGACGGTATATTGCTAAATATTTTCTGGGTCTGAGTCGGTTTAACTTTTCCTTCCCAAATTTGTATTCTGATGCAATACAAGCAAGATTTGACAGAGTAGCCATTATGAAAGAAAAAAATAACACAGCAATTGCCCTTCAGGATTTAGAAATCTACAGGCAACTCGACCAAGATGAGTTTCTGTGTTTTGGAAAATGACATGATACCCTTCTGCTGAGGGGACAGATCCTAATTCCCTCCAAATTGAGTGTGAGTGCGATTTTGAGGTGAATTCAATCAGAATTCCAAAGTCTGTCTGTGGAAGGGGGTATGAATCTGGAAACAGCCAGTTTCCTTGTGTCTGAATCCAGCCAAATATCACAAAGGACTCCTGCATTTCTTTAGATTTTTCACATTTCCCTTATTTATCATGCTTTGTAATGAATTTTCTGCTGTGAGCTTTGGTTTTGAGGCTGGAATATGGAGTTCAGGGCACAGGAGGAATGGTCTTTTTCAAACAGGGCACAGTTGTCGCCTTGCTCCCATTTTGCCTTGCTGTCATTGTTTTGGGTGCCTCAGCTGATTTTGGTTTCTTGAGCGGCAATTTCCTAAATGTTTTATGGGTCTGAGTTGGTTTTGGCTTCTTCCTTCCCAAATTTTGTATTCTGCCACAATACAAACAAGAGGTTGGACAGAGTAGCCATTATGAAATAAAAAAAAAACACAAGAAATAGGAGTTTGAAGCTTAGAAATCTAAAGGTAACACGACCAAGGAGAGTTTTTGTGTTTTGGAAAATAAAATGGAAACTTTGGCTGAGGTGACAGATATTAATTGCCTCCAAACTGAGTTTCACTGTGATTTTCAGGTTAATTCAGTCAGAATTCCACAGGCAGTCAGCTGGAGGGGTGGATGAATCCGGGAACAGCCCGTTTCCTTGCAACTAAATCAAGCCCAATATCACAAAGGACTCTTGCATTTCTTTGGCTTTTTTCTCATTTTTCTTATTTATCATGGTTTGTAATGAATTTTCTGATGTGAGCTTTGGTTTTGAGGCTTGAATATGGAGTTCAGGCACTGGATTAATGGTCTTTTTCAATCAGGGCACAGCTGTTGGCTTTCTCAAGTACTGGATTGCTGTCATTTTTTTGGTGCCTCAGCTGACTTTAGGTTTCTTGAGCGGCAATTTCCTAAATGTTTTCTGAGTCTCAGTTGGATTTGCCTTCTTCCTTCCCAAATTTTGTATTCTGACGCAATATAAACAAGAGTTTGGACAGAGTAGCCATTATGAAATAACAACACAACAAATATGCATTTGAAGCTTAGAAATCTACATGTAACACGACCAAGGTGAGTTTTGTGTTTTGGAAAATCAAATGGAACACTTTGGCTGAGGTGACAGATAGTAATTGCCTCCAAACCGAGTTTCACTGCGATTTTCATGTTAATTCAGTCAGAAACCACAGACACTCAGCTGGGAGGTATGGATGAATCTGGAAACAGCCATTAACAAGGGAATGATTCAAGCCCAATATCACTAAGAACTCCTGAATTTCTTTGGATTTTTTAGGATTTTTCTTATTTTTCATGGTTTGTAATGAATTTTCTGATGTGAGCTTTGGTTTTGAACCTGCAAGATGGAGTTCAGGGCACCGGAGGAATGGTCTTTTTCAATCAGGTAACAGCTGTTGGCTTACTCCAATTCTGTCTTCCTTTCAAGGTTTTGGGTGCCTCAGTGTCCTTCAGTTTTTTGAGCGGCAATTTCCTAAATGTTTTCTGAATCTCAGTTGGTTTTGCCTTCTTCCTTCCCAAATTTTGTATTCTGACGCAATACACACAAGATTTTGGGGAGAGCAGCCATTATGAAATAAAAAACACAACAAATAGGCTTGTGAAGCTTAGAAATCTACAGGTAACATGACCAAGGTGAGGTTTTGTGTTTTGCAAAATACAATGTAACACTTTGGCTGAGGTGACAAATATTAATTGCCTCCAAACTGAGTTTCACTGCGATTTTCAGGATAATACAGTCAAAATTCCACAGGCAGTCAGCTGAGGGTTGATGAATCCGGGAACAGCCGGTTTCCTTGCGACTCAATGAAGCCCAATATCATTATGGATTCTTGCATTTCTTTGGCTTTTTTCTCATTTTTCTTATTTATCATGGTTTGTAATGAATTTTCTGATGTGAGCTTTGGTTTTGAGGCTGCAATATGGAGTTCAGGGCACAAGAAGAAGGTTCTTTTTCAATCAGGGCACAGCTGTTGGCTTCCTCCAATTCTGGCTTGCTGTCATTGTTTTGGATGCCTCAGCTGACTTTTGCTTTTTGAGCCTCAATTTCCTAAAAGTTTTCTGGGTCTGAGTTGGTTTTGCCTTCTTCCTTCCCAAATTTTGTATTCTGATGCAATACAAACAAGATTTTGGGGAGAGCAGCCATTATGAAATAAAAAACACAACAAATAGGCTTGTGAAGCTCAGAAATCTACAGGTAACAAGAGCAAGGTGAGGTTTTGTGTTTTCGAAAATCAAATGGAACACTTTGGCTGAGGTGACAGATATTAATTGCCTCCAAACTGAGTTTCACTGCGATTTTCAGGTTAGTTAGGTCAGAATTCCACAGGCCATCACCTGGAGGGGTGGATGAATCTGGGAACAGCCGGTTTCCTTGCGACTAAATCCAGCCAAATACCACAAAGCTTCTTGTATTTCTTCGGCTTTTTTCTCATTTTTCTTATTTATCAAGGTTTCTAAGATTTTGGACAGAGTAGCCATTATGAAAGAAAAAAAAAAACACAGCAAATTGCCCTTTCAGGATTAGAAATCTACAGGCAACATGATCAAGATGAGTTTCTTTGTTTTGGAAAGTGACATGGAACCCTTCTGCTGAGGCGACAGATTCTAATTCCCTCCAAATTGAGTGTGAGTGCGATTTTGAGGTAAATTCAATCAGAATTCCAAAGTCAGTCTGTGGAAGGGGGGGACAAATCTGGAAACAGTCAGTTTCCTTGTGTCTAATCCAGCCAAATATCACAAAGAACTCTTGCATTTCTTTGGCTTTTTCACATTTCCCTTATTTATCATGGTTTGTAATGAATTTTCTGATGTGAGCTTTAGTTTTGAGGCTGCAATATGGAGTTCAGGGCACAAGAGGAAGGTTCTTTTTCAATCAGGGCACAGCTGTTGGCTTGCTCCAATTTTGGCTTGCTGTCATTGCTTTGGGTGCCTCAGCTGACTTTTGGTTTCTTACGCGGCAATTTCATAAATGTTTTCTGGGTCTGAGTTGGTTTTGTCTTCTTCCTTTCCACATTTTGTATTCTGACACAATGCAAACAAGAGTTTGGGCACAGTAGCCAGTATGAAATAAAAAACACAACAAAAACAGACGGTTTCCTTGCGACTAAATCAAGCCCAATATCATTATGGATTCTTGCATTTCTTGGCTTTTTTTGCATTTTTCTTATTTATCATGGTTTGTAATGAGTTTTCTGATGTGAGCTTTGGTTTTGAGGCTGGCATGTTGAGTTCAGGGCACTGGATTAATGGTCTTTTTCAAACAGGGCACAGCTGTTGGCTAGCTCCAGTTCTATCTTTCTTTCATGGTTTTGGGTGCCTCAGCAGATATGTGGTTTATTGAGCGGCAATTTCCTAAATGTTTTCTGGGTCTGAGTTGGTTTTGCCTTCTTCCTTGTCAAATTTTGTATTCTGAGGCAATACAAACAAGAGTTTGGACAGAGTAGCCATCATGAAATAAAAAAGAAAACAAATAGGCATTTGAAGCTAAGAAATCTACAGGTAACACGACCAAGGTGAGTTTTTGTGTTTGGGAAAATCAAATGGAACACTTTGGCTGAGGTGACAGATTTCAATAGACTCTAAACTGAGTTTCACTGTGAATATCAGGTTAATTCAGTCAGAATTCCACAGGCAGTCACCTGGAGGGTTCGATGAATCCGGGAACAGCCGGTTTCCTTGTTACTAAATCCTACCCAATATCACTAAGAACTGGCGCATTTCTTTGTTCATTTCTCATTTTTCTTATTTATCCTGGTTTGTAATGAATTTTCTGATGTGAGCATCGATTTTGAGGCTGGCATATTGAGTTCAGGACACAAGAGGAAG